TGAATAAAGAATAAAAATCTGTGTTATGAAATTTGCAAATTACATGAGGTGAAATGCAGATCTTTTAAGGACTGTGTTTTGATGTTAAGTGATACAAAAGGCCGTAATGCAGCAATATCTTACTAAATAAGATCTAAAAAGAATAGGATGATGATTATTTAGTCTTGATATTGTAAAATCTTGATGAATTATCAGGAGAAGAGATAGTTAAGTGTTTTATTCAAAAAGCACATAAAAAAAACACAAAGAATTGCTAACAGCATGCTCAAATTAGAGCTGAGATTTCTAAATAGCAGATTTCAAAACAGCAAAATATTGATAAAAAAGAAGTAAGAAAGTTCGGGAAAAGTCTGTTTATACTAACTATTGTTGAAATAAGAAATTTATTTAACGACTTTTCATCTAAGCAACTTGATGATTTAGATTATATTATGTGTAAAAAAATTGTTAGCAGAAAATTGTGTCATGAATGGTACAATATTGACATGTCCAAGACAATTATGCATTATGACAGGGTAGAAAAAGTCATAATTTACACTATTTGTTACCTTGATGATGGTCATATAATTACATATGCATTTTATAACCAGAATGTTATTTATTTGTTTTAATTTAAACTTTATTATAGTTGAACTGTTCAACATCAACAATAATTTAAGATAAAAAAAAACTTTTTTTTTTTCTTTATTGACCGATTCCTTTCTCTTGCTGAGTATCATATGCACATAACATAACAAAATGGATATTTAAAGTTGACTTTATGGTACATTTTAGCTCCTATAATATTGACTACTACATTTACTAGTCTATTTTTTGCTTTTTTTAATTAAAACTTTAAATTTTCGTTCCGTACTATTATGCAAGCCATCTTTATTTTATTTAATAATGCAGCAAAATATTAAATAAAATAAAACAGTCAACAGTAATGTCAACCTACTTTGGAGTTATTTTAACGCCTGCAAACCAGCGTATATATATTCTTACTTTACCTAATCTTATTATACCAATTCCTAAAACAAGAAATACAACAAATACTTTACATAAGATTTGATTAAGAATAAATGATTTTTAATACTACTCTTATAAATATAGATATGTTATAGTCATTTATATACGATAGGTTAAAATAACTATAGTTTTAGCACATTTCAGTTTAAACTTAAACCAACCACCTGTTGTGTTATATTTTAATTTTTTACTGCAAATTTCATCATTAGATTTGGATAATAGACAAATTCATTCTTTATTCAACTTGAAGGATTTTCATTCACACAAACAGCATTGTTTTTTGACTATACAAACCAAAACATACTGGTTCTCGCTTTAGTTTCATAATTATAATAAATCTTTGATTGTTTTACATATATATAAAAACATCTTTAAATGATTTAAATATTCATCTCTAATCCACCATTTTTATATAAAACACTTTTCTTTTTTCTACAAGTACTATAATAGGCACTGCTTTAAAGAGCTAGCGTCTCTTGTGCCATCTACTAAAATTCATTCTCGTGTTACTCGTCATTCAATTAAGTCTTATCCTTTTTCTGTTACTGGTCCAAAGTGCTCCAAAAACTTAAAGTCGTCTAGTTTTTTTACTCGAACATCAGTTTTTTGGAATTCTTCTTTCATCTCGCTTTCCTGATTCATATAATTTGCAACCTTTTAAGTTGTTTGCCAATCGTTATCTTGCTCTTACAATCTTCACTTTTTACTCTTCCAGTAACTTCCAACTCTAATTAGTGGTTGCTTGCAGCACTTGTTGGAAGCGAAGATGATTAAAAAAAATGCAATGTAATGTATAGTACACAATGTAAAAATTTTGAAAAACTTGTGTATAATGCAAGTTCTTACAAATTTTTTATAATTTTTGTAAATTTATATATTTTTTCATAGCAAAAAATCTTTTAATTTTTCACTTTTATTACATTAAAGTTAAATGCACCTCAAAACCACATCAACAAAAATGCTTTTAAAACATGATCCAAATAAATTTAAGCTTCATGATTTGATTTGCATTGGTTTTATGATATTCTGAATGGATTGTATATGTTACCGTAGTGTTATTTTTTTTGTTAGTATGTTTTTCACAACAAAACCATCATATGCAATCCAAAAACCACATTAGTGTTTTTTGGATATCTAAAAATACACCTTAAAATTGCATCAAACAATTGTTTATTTTTGTTACACACTTGTATCTATACCTCAGGTGACTATCTTTACTACTTTCATCTTGTCTATGAATTATGTAGTAACTTGTAAACTATGAATGTTGTAGTAACTTGTAAACTTACTTTTATTTGTTATACAGGAATAAATATTAAAAATGTTCAAAATATGACAACACATTTTACCTTACATTTTGGATCAAGGTCTTTCGATCCAAATTGTAAAGCAGAAGCAAGAGTTGCAAAACAGCAAAAAATACAAAAAAAAAAAGTTGGTAGAAGCTGTAGCATGGTGCAGAGATATAACATATAACATATAGAGTGTAAGAGGACAGTGTGCTCTTATATCAGGATTTTTCCCTTTGATTAAAGATCGAGAAACAATAAATTGATGTCTTGATGGTAAAATACAATTACTTTCAACGTAAGTTCAACGTTAAAAAAAAAACGTTGAAAACTTCAACGTTTATTTTTAACTAAAAATAAACGTTGAAATTAAACGTCAAATTAACGTTGAAAATTAACGTTGAATTATCTTGAAAAATCTTGAAATTTTCAAAAATCTTTTTTTGAAAAATCTTGAAATTTTCAATGTTTTTTTTAACGTTGAACTTACGTTAAAATAACGTTGAAATTTAGATAGTTAAAAATAGATGTCGAAAATGAATTAAAGTTTGCCGACGCAAAAGTACTAATATTTCGGTATTAAAATAAAATTTAATATTGTACATAAATTTCTGAGTGGAAAAGTTCTTTAAAAACTTTTAATAAAAGTATTACAAAAAATTAATACAAAGTATTAAAAGTATTATAATACTTTCAGTACACACACATTTCTTCTTATATTTAATAAAGACTATTTTTTTCTTGTTCTTTTTCTTTTCTACATTTTGCACTTGTTTTCAAACTTTTTGTTCTTTATTTTTAAGTCTTTAACTAAACTCAAAACATCTTTAACCTTCACGGACGCATGCACTTGAGTTATTCGTGTTGAATTGGTTGATAGATTTGGCTTTACTTTTTTTCATGGTCATAAAACCTCGTATCTCCTCTAATTGGATGCTTTTCTCTTTAATCAAAGTTTGAATAATTTCTAATTTTTCTTTCTAATACAGTGCTGATCCTTTTCTTTTATCAGGAGAGATAACAAAAGAGGGATCAGAGCTCATAATAAATGGTGTGGATGAAACTGATGGCTCTTCAGGAGTCTCCATACAATTATCTGCTCTATCAAACTTGTCTTGTTGCATGAACTCAATGCTCAAAGCTTCATTAGTTACACCAACTTGCTTTGCAGAGAGGATTTTGGGAAGTTTCATCATCTTCAACAAACAGTAATTTTTAGAAACATAATTGTCACACAACGTTCTTAGGCGGGTTTTTGCACCTTTTTTTATTTTTTTGAGTTTAGGGTGCGTCATTTTTCAACAAACTTTTTGCATTAAATCCCAACCATCTGGGTTAGTTTACCATTTGTATAAAGGTCCTGTCCATTAATTTTGTCACCAATTATTTAGTAAAATTTTTTTTAACTTCTCAAACTTTTAAAGAACAGAAAGAGAAAAAATTAAATTAAGATAGAAAAAAGCATTTCTTTTAAGTAATTAAAGTTATTAAAAAATAGTAATATTATTAAGGTCAACTTTTTTTGATCTCCCCTTCCCTTTGTCAACAATTTTCAAAATTTTCCTATTTTGTAGACGTAATTAATATACAGCCCCTAAAAGTGTTTACTAAAATAAAAATGTTTACTAAGATAAAATATTAAAGGTTGCTATTAAGATAAAATGTTAATGGTTGCTAAAAAAAAGCGCAAAACTTGAACTATAAATAAAAAATGCTAAAAGAAGTTGACGAATGAGAAATCATCTGCGTCAACACCAAAAAAATATAGCGATTTTTTAAATTTAATTATATATATAAAAATCTATTCCTTCTTATTTTATAAGATGTATTAAATCAAGTTTTATTTGCAGATTCACATACCTTTCAATAAAATCCGGATCCATTCAAGGGAACAATAATCTGGACCCATTCAAGGGAACAATAATCTGGACCCATTCAAGGGAACAATAATATGGTACAACCCACCTTTCAGTACTTATTTTGCAACAAAAATAGGCAGTTGGTTTTTGACCATGATTGTCAGTCTGCGGTTGGTCTTAAACTTTGCAAGATATTTAATAAAAGTTCAATTAAAATAAGCTACTCATGTATGTATAACGTTAAACCCATTATTAGTTAAACACAATATACTATATAACACAATATGTAGTATAACAACTAAGAAAAAATAACCTGTAACTGTGTCACCAAATCCATCTGCCTAATGAACAATCAGATTATAAAGAGTAAGCAAAAATACACTATTTTGGCTCATTTGAACTTTTAGAAATGAAACAATACTTAGCAAATAATCCTTTCTTAGCAAAAAATATTCTGTAGGCACATTCAAATTAAGCGTACATTATAATGTTCACTTAAATTGAAAATTATCATTAATTTGTGTTTATTTTATGTTATATTTGCGCGCCCAATCGCTTAAAACTCACAACTATAATTTGTGTTTATTTTATGTTATATTTGCGCGCCCAATCGCTTAAAACTCACAACTATAGTTTGTGTTTATTTTATGTTATGTTTGCGCGCCCAATCGCTTAAAACTCACAACTATAATTTGTGTTTATTTTATGTTATATTTGCGCGCCCAATCGCTTAAAACTCACAACTATAGTTTGTGTTTATTTTATGTTATGTTTGCGCGCCCAATCGCTTAAAACTCACAACTATAATTTGTGTTTATTTTATGTTATATTTACGCGCCCAATCTCTTAAAACTCACAACTATTATTATAATATATGAATCTTAAGAATAAATTACATTTAGTTTTTAAAAAACTTTAAAATCAAATTAAAGATATAAAAAGCAACAGAACTGTTGAGTATCGGTTTAAATTTTGGTTTTGTATTTTATAGCTTTCTTATATGATTTAGTTCTGTTCGATATATGGATAGAATTACTATTATCGTTTCGAGTTTCCTCGCAATTAACATTTTGATTAACGCAGTTATGCTCTTCAATTATATCGCTGATTCTATATTCTTCGTTAGTTGTTTTAAATTTAAAGTTTAAGTTTGATTTGTTTTTTTGTACAGGCATACTTTCTGCCCTTCGAACAGTCGGGCCATTTTTAATCTTTTCAGAATAGGAATCCAGTAAGTCTGTTTCAGTAGTTAATTCATTTATATCTAAAAATTCAATTTGTTCTAGTGAATCACACGATGGAAAGATTTCAGTTTCTCTTATTTTTATTTGAGTGTCGTCTGATAAATCAGAAGTGATCGAGCCGTTGTCAGAGGCATTAGAGTAAATTGATGACCTGTTTATATCTTCTTTATCACTATCGCATTCGTTTAAATCTTTAATGAAAAAAAAAAATTACAAACAATTTCACAAAAACTATTGAAAAAAAAAAGGTATATGATTAACTTCCATAAAAAACTTACTTAATGAATATAATTCCTCGATTTCTTTTTCCAATTTTTCTAAAAGTAATTTCCTAGCAGCAAGCGCCGCTTCTTTTTCTTTTAAACGCTCCGTTAGATCTCTGTGATTGACAGCATCCATGTACTTTACTACAAGACTATAAAAGTTACAATTGTCACTAAATAGTACTAATTAAAATAAATCTTTTTTTAAATGTAAGAAAGAAACATACTCAAGCTGAACTTCGTCACCTTGAATAAACTCTAATATTTTGTTATAATCGATATCTTCAACTTTTTCGTTATTTACTTTTAAAATTACATCGCCCTCTCTTAATCCGCCTATATAAGCGGACCCTTCATCTTTTACATTGTCAACAAATAAACGATTTTCAATGGTACCATCACATTTTTGAAACGTATACTTCTAGAAAAGTTAAAGTTACTAGGTTTAATTTAAGCTTAGTAATTCAAGTCAGTATAACATTAAAATAAATTAACACGAGTAACAGAAAGAAAGAGGAGTGTCCGTTTTTTGTTTTTTTTATCAGCTAGTACGATTGTTAGAATGTTTCTTATCAATAGTTTAACCTTAAAAAAGTAAATAACTAAGATAATTTCCCGATCAGCACAATTGAATTGGTCTGACTCATTTTTTATTGTTGGTCTAATAACGCGTTATAGTTGGCCGAATGTCGGCGCTGCATGAAAATATGGTCGAGCTAACGTGAACATCAAATCAAATGCAGTTGCAATAACTAACGAAATATGTGGTTGTCCCGAATGCAAACCTGATGTAGTTGCCTTTACTAACCCAAAAATGGTTAATTACTCAACCTCTCCATCTTTTTAAAATCTTCAATTACAATTAACACCCAATAGTTTTAAATAATTAAATCTATATTCTCTCAAATACAAAAATACTTATATACAAACATCTACAAAATAATTCGTCTTCCTCTATACAATTATAATATATAAAAAATATTTAATAAAACATTTAATTCAGACTTATTCTTTTTATTTCATTTAAACATTCATTCAAAAAAAAAAAAGTTTATTTTTATTTTTTTAATTACTTTGTATAATAAAAGTTATTTATATAATATAATATATAAACTTCTTTTATATTTGACACGGTTAATGCCAATTGAAGCAGAGAAACAACTTAACGGTAAGAAAATATTATCAAAAAAACTTTTAAAAATGCACTTTTTGCTTTTATTTCTTTTTTTTTAAAAGAATGTTAAAATGCAAAAAGTGCATTTTTACATTTTTTAGATTTTGCTGCCTAAACAAATGACATTAAAAAGTGTCATTTATTTAGACAGCAAAATCTAAAATAATATTTTTCAATAGAGTTATCATTTTCTTTTTAATGTTGTATAATTTCGCTTCGTTTGAGACTCAGGTTAAGCTATTTTTGAAGGACCTATTCTTTCATAGTATTAGAGACCTGCCTGCCAAGAGTTTAAACTTAGTGTTATTTTGTTTTATAGAGCACATTCAGCTGTTATGCAAAATCATTGAAAAAAAAAAAAATATATTTATTTAAAACACCCCCTGATCTTTTTCCTTTAGAGTTAGAATAAGTTTAATTTAGCACAAATCAGATGCAAAGTAAGGGGCCGTCTTTTATATATTTTTCAAAATATGTTTACTAATCCTTTAATATGAATAATGTTAAAACATATCGTTAAATCTTTAACACTCCTATTTACAAAACAAAGAACTTTGAAATAATCTTTTTTAAGTTGAACTTTAAAAGCAATTATATTAATTAAATAATTACGTTTATTTTAATTCGTTCTGTAAAGAAATTAATAAGGGCGGATCTAGGGTACGTCTAGTACGTCTGAAGACGTACCCAATATTTTTTTACTTAACTGTCAAATATAATAAATTTCGAATTTAATTTTTATAGTCGCTTGCAAAATAAATTAATATATAATAATTGGTTCTTGCTTAAAGCGGTTTTTAATGTTTACGTAATATTTCTTAACTGGAGGTTAAAGCATTTCCTAATATATAATATTTAATTAGATAGATCCATAGACTTCCCCAATTTTACTTTATTATACAATAAAAAATGTTTTTAAATTTTTATATGGTTTGTTAAAAAAGCAAATAAAAAATTTCTTTATTTGTAACAAATTTTGGATGCCCCCAAAGTACTACATCCTAAGTTAAGTCAAAATCTTTTGCTTTGCAGTAATAAGGAGGTTAAATAAATGATAATGACAAATACATAATAAAGCTACAATTAATATGAAAAATTACAAAATTACATGATTTCAAATATGATATAATTTTATAATAATAATTTACAGATAAATTCAACCGATAAGTTTTAAATTTGAAATTTTATACTATTACGTTTAGAATTTTTACGTATTCTTAAAAAATGGTTTAATAAATAAACAAACAATTAATATAAACCTAACTTATAAATTAAAACATTTTTTTTTTTCATACTAGAATAATGATTCATTCTTATTTTTATAAATTGTTACGACATCTATTTTTTTTAGGTTATACAATTTGCATTCCCAGCAATCCCCAGCGTTTCTCCAGCCCTAGTCCTCCTAATGTTATGTGATAACTATATTTAAATTTTTAAATGTAAACATGTAAAGAGGAATGAGGATTTAATTAGTTAATTAAAATTCTGTGTCAGGTAAAACCCAATAAAAACCCAAATGGTCTTTCTATCGGAAGTATTCAGATGAGTTGAACATGATTTTAAGGACGTGAAAATTATTTGTTGTCTGTATGGCTTTGTAAGAACTTTTATTTTTTTTTTTGACAATCATTTACATTTAATAAATTTACATTTTAACTGTCAAAGTGGTTGAATGAATTATAATTGATATGAAAAAAACAAAATTAGTTGGTATATTGGGTTTAAACTACTTATTGATTGCATAGACACATTATTTAATTGCTAAAAAGAATGAAAAGAAGAATCCATTTTAAATTCTTTTGAAAGATCAATTATAAAAAATAATCAAAACTACGGTACGAAAAACATCCATATGTTTTTCGCATGACAAGCATAATTAATAACCCCAATAAAGATGAATATTTAATTGTCATGATGTCATAACTAATTATTAAATTGGATAATAATTTCAATGAAAAACTAGTTTTATAAACAGTTTTGAGACGTCATTCAGCCAAGGTTTTAAAGATTCTCTTAAAAATTGACTTTACTTTTATATGTAAATGGTATCAATCCATTTTAAAACAGTAACTCCTTAAACTAAAACTACAAAAATGAACTTGTTGGAATTTATGCAGTTTTTGCTTTTAAATAATTGAGTTTACATATGAAAACAAGAGATCATAAATACAGTTTGAGATTTCATTTACAAATTGTACTTTTACACAATCGTTAAGAGCGATACAATTATTTTAAGATCCTGTAGTACACTTCTTAACTAATGACATCCTTACTGCGTAAATAAAATATTTGCTCTCCTCTTTCACTTTAATGTATTTGCCAAGACCATTTATTTTATGCTTTAAAAATTTTTTTATGCTTTTGAAAATTTTTTAAAGACATACATTGAAAGCTTAAAAATACCATTAAAAATTATTTAGGCATTAAAAAAATAACTTCACCTACTTCTCCTACACTCATAAAAAAAAAAAAATTGTAAATTTGAGTTCGTAGACAAGGGGGTAAAATTGAAAAACCTCAAACTATTTTGATAAATTTTTCTTCTTCCGATGAAAAACGAGTTTAAGCTTGAACTAATTTTGAATTTATTATGAAAGATCTGAAAAAAAAAATACTGATTAAAATATGGAAAACACTATAAAGTTGAACTATAATTAAAATTACGGTAATTAGGAAAGTCAGCAATAAACTATTAGTTCTTACTCATCGCTTTTTGGTATAATGTTTACGATCACATGTGGTATCTTTTCTATTTCCAACTTCTAACTAGCTTTCGGCTGATAATAAAGTTGTTAAGAAACAGGTAAGGTAGAGGAAAGTTGGGCAGGTAAAATATCTAATAAAATACACATCGTATGGCATGACATCTTATGGATGAAAGAAAGAAAATCAGAATAGTAATGCAATGCATAAGCTTATTAGCAGTCAAGTGATATGCACCGGTACATTTGTTATTTTTAGTAAATAAAGTAAAAATTTATAAATGCTATTATTCTCAACGGTGGTTATAAATATTTATATATGGCATTGATAAGCGTTCATATTTTACCTAGTTATTTTGATTTTAGTTACGCCCGTTTATCTTAATTCATTCTTATTATAACCTAACATATGTGTCACCTTGTCTAGTTGAGGTAGCAGATATGAAAAAGTAAAACTACACTATCAAACATGAAGCAGCAGCTTTGTTAAGTAAACGTTTTATAAAGTAAACAAAAAAATAGTCATTTTTAAACAGATCTTAAAAATTCAAGATATTTGCACAAAATCATTATTTTAAGTATGGTATGATGGTTTATTACCATTTTATTTTTTCTCTTCATTTTGAAATAACTTTAGTACCAAATTTGTGCGGCCGTGGTGCAGTGGTTACAACGCTTGCTTTATAAGCAAGAGACCCAGGTTCGAAATGAGCTCTGGACATATTTTCGCGACACGGTAAGGAAGGAGGCATGAACTTTCTGGTTAAAAATTAAAAAGATAATTCTTCTTAACCATTATTTGGTATCTTTCTAATAGTGAAAAAATCTTACAGACCATGTTTCCATACCCTATAGCATGTGATCTGATTGACTACAGCCGATAAAGTATTAGGGCGTAGTCGCTTTTACGTTTTCTTCTTCCAGCAAACGTTAAGCGAGTAGAAGAAGGGGGAAATGTAAACGGGTATTTAACAAATGCTAACCATGCTTTGTACTAATAGCATTAATAATGGTTGAAGAAAACGAGATGCAACGTTAGACCCAATAATCCAAGGCAACACAAACACAACATAACATTAGTCATCACATAACACAACATAACATCAGTCCGATGAACAGCAGATCTTAGGCCAACCGTGAACTGGACTTCATAACTTGTTAATATTAGCAGTCAAACTTAAAAAAAAAAGGCAAAGCGCTTTAAATTTTTCCAAAAATCTGAAAAAAAGAACTTTTAATTGTTTTTATTTCTAAACAGAAACTATGACAACGCTTTTGACAAATATATAAAAGGGCTAAAAATTTATTTTAAAATCATCTAAAAACTTTTAGTTTCGAGTTAAAACATATCTATTGTTTAGCGTCTACAATAAAACGTTACAATAAAAAAATAAAAAATGTTGTTTTTTAAATTTATTTTAATTTATTAACTTATTCTGGCAGTAACTCTTTTTTCACGTCACCTTTTTTCATTTAATCAAGCATTAAAAAAACATACATTAAAAAGGATTTTACCTGCAAGTTAGCAAGTGAGGGCAATTCAATTCAATTTGGACTATAGAAACCGAATGGCTTTAGCAAAAAATAAAAATAAACCAAAACTAAATTTGTATCACTTGCTGATGCTTAGCTTCGTAATTTTTTTTTCTTTTACTTTCTCAAGAGTACAGAGGGTCTTAACGGCCAAAAAAAACTATTTAAATTTTTTGCATCTCTATCAGCCTTAAACTTCAAAATATGAATTTAAATAAGACGAAAAAAACAATTTGGTTTTTAACTTTTAACAATCGGATACGTAGATTTACATAAGACGTACACGCACAAAAAAGTCAAAATTAAACTACTTACTTGCAAAGAAAAACCAAATTCTTGGTCTGTAAGTTTGGACAGTTTAAGGGTGCGCCACTCGTTACGTGGTGGTTTAACGTCAGCTCTAAATTAATAAAATTGTGATAATTTGTTTACGTCAATTTTTTTCAGAACCACTATTTAAATTAAAAAGACTTACTGCCAACCGCAAATAGGTAATAGCTCAGTTTGTTTAAAAGAACTTTTTTTTAGGGTTACTTTTATCTTATATAACCTTTGAGAAACAATGACAATCCACGAATTTATCAATAAGGCAAAATTCATTAATAAGTTTTCTTTCTGCTCCAACATTTTTAAACAGTGCGTTGACATTTTTACGACACTTTTCTGGTGAAAACGTACAGTTTTACTGCATGCAATGGAAACCGCAAGTCATTAACGCGATTTGTTTTGAAATAATCACAAAAATAAAAAGAGCACATTTTACGTTAGCAAAAAGAGGAGGGAACGCAACTTAATCTGTTTCATTATTTTAAATCTTTTCTTCATTGTATTAATTATTAAGTTAGAAAAAAAATTAAATGTTTGGAATTCATTACGATGACGTCTTTGCATTGCTGCAATGTTTTGTAGGTGTCACAAAAAAGGTTAAAGAAAAAAAAAAAGGATTAAAATTGCATTCCACTTGCTGATTATACTTTATGGTTAACATACCTAATTGTTTCTAATTGATTGCAAAGTTATTATTTAACTCTTAGTGTTTAAGGTTTGAAAGGTCCTTGGAATGCGCTTAAAACATGAACGGCGTGAAAAAAAGTAAGGCGTAAAAATAGGTACGGCGTGACTTTTAGGATTTTGTAACGCTGTATTAATGCTTAAAAAGAATACAAATTTAAAGTAAAAAAAAGTTAAAAAAAAGTTAAAGAAAGTATTGTGTAAAATAAAAGCTTATCTAAAACCTAAGATGTTTTAACGTATATTGTGTACATATTTAATTAAGTTTGGCTTATATATATACTTTAAACTATAGTATAATAAATGATAATGTATTAAGATGTATAAATGTTTAAATAGATTTAAAGGATTCTCATTTCTAGCATCCCATCTTTCTAGCCCTGGCTCTTCGCTTAAATAACTTTAACTAATTCAACTGTAAAATTTATTTTAAAGCTACAATATACATTTTTAAAATAAATAATGTGGGTGCGAGGTAAAGCACCCGCACCCATCGCAAAATGACTACGGAAATAAAAAATTGAACCTAATAAGGATAGTTAAAAATTGAACCTATTGAAAGGTTATCAATAATTTCTCTTTTTATTTTTAAAACAATTTTTTATAAACTTATTAACTTAAAAGTTAACATATAAAGTGCTAATTTATAAAAAAGTCTATAAAATAATCAATAAAATTCTTTAAAATTTATCAACAGTGTGGTTTTTCAGTGGCCCGATAAAAATATATTCAAGCCAGATGTAAACAATTTAAAAAAGCCATCAAAGCGAATATCAGTACAGTATCTAGTACATTAAAGTCTCCTTATTGAAATCTTGAATCCGCCCTTTTTTATATTATTTCATTTGCCTTTATTTTGATTATAAAATTTTATATCACATTTACTTGTATTTAAGGTCACATGCTCGTAAGCACATTTCGTTTTGTATTGGCACGTGTTTTTTTTTTGACAATTACGTTTTCAATGAGATTATTCAAATGCCTTTCTTATCAGTTGCTGGCAATGTTTTATATAAATAATTTAATACATCAAAATAAACTAAAGTTATTTTTATTCGTTTTCAATAAAGTATAAATATTATTAAATAAACACAAAGTTAAAAAAATATTTAGAAACAAAGTTTAGACGCCTTCTTTCTTTTGACAAATTTTTATTGAGAGTTATTGTTATTGTTGACTTTATTGTTAATAAAAGTCAGACGTGTTACCGAACCGGATACTTTAAAAACCGTTGGCTCCAGTAAGTGGCGCAAGCAAAACGATTGGAGGATTTTTACAGCGTCCAAATTTTTGTTTTAAAAACTCTAATGAGCTTCAAGCATTGGCTTTTAAAGTATACTATTTCGGACAACTTTTCTTGTATTTTTTTAATTTTATTATTTTAAATTAATTGAAGTTGGCCATCCTTTGTGTATAGTTAAAATGCAGCTCCATAAAAAGTAAAAATATAGTATATATTAACCGCAAACTATTTTAATGAGGAAATCAAAAGAACTGTTGTTTTAAATTTAAAAAAATAATTTATATCTTTAAATTTTACTTTTTAATCGAGCCCGTCATTTTAAAAAAGACAAAAATCCAAAATATCAGGCTATTTATCTTTTTTATAAATGCTACTTTTTTAAAAATGGTTACTGCTCTAATGAGCAATCATTATTCCACATTCATGAATTCATTTTTGTATGAATTGTCAACACGATTCTCTTAAACTATTATTTTATTCTCGTAATTTTTTATTACGCGATTACGAGAAGTAATTTATTACGTAATTACGAGAACTTAAATAACGGCCGACTGCGATTATAGCGTGAAATTATTTTGATCCTTTTTAGCTTTTAGGTATTTGTATAAATATATTATTTATGCAAATAATATTTGTATAAATATTACTTATACAAATTATAAAAATATTTTGCATTTTTAAATAATGGAATTATATTGAAGAGCTTCTTTTTAAAAAAACGATGTTACATATTTTTAGTGTTAATTTATAAAGATATAATTAAGTAAGTATACCTTAGATACAATTTCAATACATAAAAAGTTCTTCTAAAATTTATTTTTTAATTTCCGATAACACAAAAGCTAGTTAAAAAAACTTAAAATAAAAAGTAGTTATCATGGTAACCAACCATAATGGAGAAAAGCGAAAATTCATGTTAACGTTAATTGGAAGATATCTCGTTAAAAAATAATAATAATGATTATTTTTTTTCAATGGTTGAATAGTTCTAATTTTCATTTTACTCCTTTATTTAGATAGATAAATGATCTAAACTTGAAAAAAAGATAAATATTTATTTCAGATCAAGTTATCTATTATTTTATTTGTTAAGTGAAATTATCTTGATAAGTAACATCAAAAAAGAGTTTTTCAGATAAGTTCATACTACTTCATACAATTTATATATTATATACTTTTTGCTTTACATATATTATATACTTTACACTTTATATATTTCTTGAAAATTTCAAATGAAAAGAGCTATTCAAAGTTATGATAAGTGCCGTGCTTAATGGGTCGGAGGGTCCCCCTAAAACCTGTAAGCCCTATTTTTATGAAAAATTTGCTAAAAAAAACTCCATCTAATTTCCAAAAGGTCTCCTAAATTTGAAAATGCCCCTCACCCTCCCAATTAGAGTGTGTGGGAAAGCCTAGCCACGGCTCTGGTTATGATCAAACTTTCGAAAAAAACTGCTTACATAAGAATGTGAGAAATGTTTATGTTTTAAAAAATCTTGATGATTTTCTCATTTTTGTAAAACCTCGATGATTTAATAATTTTTTTTTTAATTTTGATGATTTGTTATTTATTTATTTTTAAACAATATTTTGTAGGCGATGCTCGAAATCAACAAATTGTGAAAAAAAAAGCGTAAATGATTTTCAGAAATGAAATTTATAGTAAATTTAAAGTAAAAATAAATTAAAAACAAATTATTTAATTTTATAATAAAATCTTATTATATTTGAGATGATTCTACCTTAATCAATACGCAATTTTACAGTTTTTTTTTTAATAATAACTTGCTAAAAATGTTTTGTCAAATACTTATCTGTTTGAAAGACTGAAATTTTATTTGAAAGCAACCGTTTTGCATATTCTTAGGAAATTTGTATGAGCTGTATAGATTTTGAGTTAAAGTACGGTACCCTAAACAAACGTTAGAAAAATACTTTATTTAGGGTATTTCACACATTAAGTGACATTAAAAATTATAATTTAACTCATTTATAGGAAAGATATTTTGAAAATACTACAGAATGAAACTATCAATGCATCTATATATAAAAAAAAACAATTCTTTATGCCTCAAAACATTTCCTCATCTGGTCTTTTTTAGTAGCTAACATTTCATCAGCTATTTGGTTCCTCAAATCAAAAAAGTGATGGAATATGCTTATAGGTAGAAATATAAACATTGGATTTTTGAAATTAAAAAAAATTAACCACGGTTTTTTGACTGTACAAACAAGTGCGATATTTAAATGATTAAAACTTATTTTTTAAAAGTTTGTCCATGGTTTTACTCTGACGCGATTCCAGAATCATTTAAGCTTCGATTAAGCAAAACTCTCTACATATGTCAGCATTATGTTCTTAACAAATAATTGAATTTTTTTTTTTTGATACATCAAATACCTTACCAATTACCTTTGATACCTCACCAATTACCTTTGGTACCTCACCAAATACCTACTAACAACTACCACTTTAAACGACTATAAATTGAAAATCGTCTTCTTTGGGGGAAAGGGGGAAGGAGGGTATGACACCTTCCACCCACCTCTTAGAACCGCCCAGTACACTAGTAAACTAAAAAAGAGCTTTTCAGAATTCAAAAATGACATTGAAATTTTCATGGAAATAGAAAAAATAATGATAAAGTGTTTGATAAAATTCATATACTTATACATACATAACGTATCTTTTCCATACATTTTTTGTAACACTGTTATCGATTACATCCTCCAAAGTTCAGTAAGTATTTTAGTTTGGATTTTAACATAAGTATTTGGATATCATAAAAAGGGTTATATTTAATTGGGTTTACAGATTATTCTAATATTTTGTTAATGAGTGCCCATTTATAATTTGCTGCTTGTATGAAGTCTCATTCTGAGCATAACCTAAACGTTCACACGAATGATTTTTACGTTATTGAGTAAAAGTCAAGTCGTAGTTTATTTAGTTAAAGATAGTAAGAAACGCAAGCATGCTAATTCCATTTAACTTGAAAGGCTTTTTAAAGCTATTAGTGGTCAAACTATTACATTCTTGTGAAACTGTTAATATAAAATAAAATATTATGCATGGTCTACTTTAAGTAGGCCATGGTAAATGTTGTAATTTTAGAAGCAGTTTAGTCTTAAATTTTTTTACAACTTTTTTAAGTGAAGAAATGTTAAAATTTTTTTTAAACGCGTTAAAAGTGTTTTTTCTTATTATGATTGTAAAAAAGAAAATTTTGACCAACGCGCTGTTAAGTTTACCAGAGTGATAACCCCTGACAATAATAAACACACATACAATTTGCGGAATTCAGTATTTGACATGCGCAGATTTTGGATATAAACAAACCGAAGTGAACAGGCAATAAAAATTTTACTAAAAATCTTAATTTTTTTATATAACAATATTTGCAAGTTAAGTATTGATAATACCTTTTTTTCTCTCGTGGAAAAGACATTCTTCTTAAAAGTGTGAGACTCGGTAGTTAATGCTTCTAATATGCTCAAAATTTTTTTTTTTTTTTACATTTTCAAACAAAATAAGAAGCTTTTTATACTATTTTATTAAAACAGCACAATTATTGCTGTTGTAAGGAAAAAATGACTATTATCTATTACAATGAGTCATCATTTTCCATTAACTCTAAAATTAATGAAAACTAATCTCTAAAGTTAATGAAAACATTCAAAATTTGAACATTCAAAAAAACAGCCAAATGAACTTAGCTAAAATTAAAAAGCGGCGTATACTACCTTCGATATGCAAAAAGCAAAGTAAAAAATAATAGATCTTTTTATAAGGGATACTTAAATACAGAGAAAACAGATATAGCTCAGGTGGCTTTTGTGTTTATTGACAGAAATATTTATTTTTGACTTATAAATTTTATTATTTGACTTGATTGTTCTCATTTTGTGATTAAAAAAAAAAAATTAAAACATGTTTAAAATAGTTTAATTAACTCCAGTTTAAAATAGTCAATTATGCCAAAGTTTTTAGGTGATGTTTTTCAAAAATATAGAATTCATTTTTCATGCAATTTAAATTTTTTTCTTAAATTTCTGTCGTTGACCTTAGAAACTCTAATATTTTTTTGCAAATTTGTCTGACTATATTAATCTCTGAAACTATTCACATTAGACTTCAGTAAAGTTTTTTTTGACATTAAGTTAATCTAAAAATGTTTTAAATATGAAAATTACAAAAGTTTTTAGATTGTTTCTGATAAAGCTTGAAATTGTTAAAATTCAACTTAAATTGTCTATTCTGTGCAATTCGAAGAAGGTTTGAATTATTTTTTTAAAAGTCAAAAGCTGACAAATTTTATTCATGTTTTTAATCATATAACAGAACAAAATTATCTTAGATATTATAAAAACTACATAAGTTTTAGTGGCACGTTCCTTATCTTTTAAAACAAATAAACAACAACAACAACAACAACAACAACAACAACAACAACAACAACAACAACAAGAGTTTATTTTAAATTGAGTTTAGATAACATTTTCAATTTGCATTCATTAAAAAAAATTTTGTAAGGGTCTTATAAAGACCTCAAAAAAAAAATAAATAAAATAAAAAAAAATAATAATAATATTAATGTTAAAAAAAATAAAAGTTCGCCAACTTCCCCACCTCGAAAAATATTGGCGCAAACTATAAAAATGATTTTAAGGTGTAAAATTTACAGAAAAGTTTTTAATATCAACTTTGGCAGTTATTAATTTTAAATTTATTATTACTTAAAGTAGTTAAAAGATAAATAATAATACTATGAAACAAAACTCTCGCTATTTCTTCGTAAAACAATCCCTTGAAGTTTTTTTTTTTTTTTTTATATAAATATTTTTGTAAATGTTAAATAAATTTTTAAATGTCGTTCCAATTTAAAAAAAAATTATTAATTTTATGAAAATATTTTTTCTATAGATAATATGAGCGGTTTAAATTTTGCCCAACTTACCCCAAAGGTCTTATTTTCAATAAACATCGTATTTAGATACTGAAAAACGGCAACTATTCAAAAAAAAAACAGCAACAACAAAAAAAAATAATAATAATAATCTGACCGAAAATAATTAATTAATTGTGATATGAGTCTTTACAATATACATTTTTGATACAATTGACGATTTTTTTCAAAAAGTAAAAGTGAAGCGATGTTTCAAAAGTTACGTTTTTGTCCTAAAAGGAAATAAATTCCAATATCTCCTTATGCACATGCGCGAATCCTAACAATATTACAATGAGAGGTGAAATGGTCAATTGGAAAGGTTCCATGTAAAACCAAGCACTTTTTGATACAAGTCTTTAAAATTACACGCAATTTTTCAAGTTATACCTGCTGCCAACTAGCGCCGAAAAAAATGTAAACAAAATTATATCTCTAAGGACTATACTTAGGTAAAAGGTATCTCGATCATAAACAAAACCATTAATAAATTTTTTAATCGCTAAAAAAGTAATCAAATTTTTGCTTTCGGATTACTTAAATAAAGCCCAGGAAATATAAACTATAAAAAAGACACTTTTCTTAAAAATGTGACCCTTTATTAAGCGCTTCGAAACATATCATATTAAGCTCCATCACCCAAGATATAGTTTAAACAGCATGACAGAAGCTTATGTTTTCTCTCTTACAGCCATGGTATTAGCATGAGATGAACTTGAAATATCAATGCAACAATAACTTTTTGAAATATCGATGCAGCGATCAACTTTTAAATATTTTTACGTCATCGCAATATATTGAATAATAAAAAATTTAAATCGCGAGTTGTAAATTTTTTGTTCTTTAATATCTCGCATGTAGCATATTGCAAATATAAAATAGTAAAATAAAGTTAACATGAGCAAATAAAAATAACTCTGTCAAACTTGTAAATATTCTAAGTTTCACATAGTAAATTTACAAGTTTGTAAATATAATACCCAGCCAACATTTGGTCCTAAAAAAACGTCTTATGAACGTTCAAAAGACGCTTTTTTTTAAAAAACCAAATGCCGGTTGGCTAGATAAACTAAAAAAAAGTTTATATCAAAAAAGTAGTTGTGTGTCTGTGAAAGAGATTATACCATCTTTGGCTACTTTCCACTGTATATTACATTATAAAACACCAGATGAAAACTTACCCTGTTCCTACATCATCCAAAATTTGCTTCATTCTACTGTTTTCTTGTTTAAAAACTATAGACTTTTTTGAAAATCTTCTTAAAATATCCAACTTTATGCTGACATCTCTAGTGCCATTTATTTGATCATAGCTAAATTCTCAACAACAACAAAAAAATGCTTTAAACTGAGCATTGAAAAAAGTTTTATCAATGTAAATGTGATTACTTTTATAAAAATAACGATAAACAGTTTACCTATAAGAATGCTTAAGCTCTTTTCTTGGCCTTACTCTAATATAGTTTTTATCGCTTTGATTCCATTCAGTATCTTCGTTGCAACTGGTTTGTCTGACAATAAAAATAACATGTTTAGTTAGTGTCAACGAAAAGCAACTACTATAGACAATTAAAAAAAATTAAACAATAGAAATACTTTCCAAACAAATAAACAAACATACTTTTCTGAAAACATGTCTTTGAAAACGGCGTCTGATACAAAGAAGAAGAAAAAAAATTATAAACAAAAATTTAAATAAATTTCTCAAGACATACAGAATAAAAGAATCTCTCAGTAATGAAAATATAAACATGCCACTTTACTGCATTTAAAAAACAGACAAAAAATGTATTAAAAAAAAAAACTCTTCAATGAAATCATTTAGAGTTTCCCATTCATAACACTAGAATCAGTAGGAAACTAAGAAAAGGGAAACGCGTCCTCAATTTACATAACTCTTGCTTAAAAAATAATTTTCTTACTTTAGGAAACTTAAAACCATTGAAAACTTTTTTTTTATACAAAGAAAACATAAAAGTTTTCTTTGTGGTACAAAATTTTTTCAATTTAACAAAATTTACTGACTCATTTTGTAAAATTTCAGCGGTTTGGTCATTGAAAAACGTCTTATAGACTTCACTACATTTCTAAAGTTATTGGAATGGTTTTTACACGGTGGGTTATTGTTAATATCATCGTAACAAGTCGAGGCTGTTGAAGAAGGACGGTGCTGAAAGGCACTTCGGGCAAAGTGTCCCGGGCCTTTTTGTTTCCAATTTCCAACTTGGTTCCGTTGTTTGCGAAACATCTTTTTTAAGCGATTTTTCCATTCTTCCATAGTTTGATAGTAAATAAACATATCCAAAATGAAATTATTTTCCGAACCAATTGTAATACTCATTTTTTAAAAAAAGTGTATTTAAAAAATCAACTAGCGTTAAAATATTTTATATTTCGTTTTGTACTTCGTTTCGAATTTCGGAAACATTTATATCAATTTTTAATCTGCAAACAACAAGTACATCTCTTTATTTTTGTCACTGAAAAAAAATGTTTTCTTAAGGAATTAAAGCTCGCTGTGAGTTCGCGTGCTTACAAATACTCGACACAGTCGAATCAATGAAAAAATAAAATATTATTATTAAGTACTTATCGTGGTTTAAAGTTTGGTAATCAACAGAGCAATCGAGAACAGGACAATCGAGAAACTCATAAAATTAGAAAAATTCAATGCAAATCAACGCAAATAAGTTTTAAAAAATCTATAAACGATCTAATCAACAAGATTCATCAAAAATCTTTAAGACCTTTCTCCACATTTAAAATAATGTAAAAAAAGAAAGCTACTTTTCATTCTTAAACAAACTCATTTATGAACAACTTCAAAAAACTACAAAGTACTTTTTAAAAAAACCTATCGTATTAACGTATTAAAAACGTGATAATAATTGTGCAATGATAGCGGTGACTATTTAAATACCACGGTGACGATATAATCTTCCAACATAAAGATAATAAATGCTTTAACAACTGAAAAACAAAAAGAGAACGCTGGGAACGAAATGGCTAGTTATTGAATTAAATTTTATACTCAAAGCGTTAAAAAAACAAAATGGTTGGTAAACAAAGAAGTCTTTTCCCCTTGAACCCGAATTTAACATATTATTTCAAAGCAAGCGAGACTCATTTGCACTTTGCTCTCTGTCTGCTATTAATCCATTGCTGTATTTATCCATAAAAATTTAAATTAATACTTTGTTAAGGCAAATTATCCTAAACTTAATATGTCCGAGAGTAAGATTTTTTCTTAAAAAGTTTTACAATTAGTTTTAGCAAAATACTTTTTTTTATAAATCGGTCGAGGAGTAACAAGTTAGTTCAACTTCTTTTAATTTATTGCTATCGTTTTCAGTTACTAAATTTTCATAAAACTTATTTTAAATTTGATCAAAACGTGAATCTACAATTAATTGGATTAATGATAGAATTAATATTGTTAAGAAAAATTGTTTTAAAAAATTGTTATAACAAAAAAACTAAATTAATTTGCTTTTAATATAATTTAATTAAAAAAATCATAAATTACTTATTAGATTTTTAATTACTTTGACGCCAAGCATCGAGTGAAATACAAAATGAAGACCTTAATCTATTAAATTTTTTTTTGCCGAAAGCATTTTTTTTACAATTGAATAAAACAGCTTAGTATAGTTTGAGTTATCAAAATATATAGAATAAATATAGTCTCGGCAACTTTTAGTTTTCTAAGATAAATTATCAGCAGGTTTTTTTTGGCTTAGAACTTGTGTCGTTGAATGGCCAAAGTTTATTTTCTAAATTTGCCGCCGAATTTTACTTTTCTTTCAGCACTGTCTTTGTAAAAGTGTTGTTTGGCGCACTTATGCACTTGTGTTTCTGCAGAAAATGTTATATTTAACATTTACACAAATATATTGCATGCAACATTTACACAAATGTATTCCTTTTTATATTTTTTATATTATTTATGTTTATTTTTATATAGTGTTCACTTCCTTATAGCATGGAAAAGTGAAGGAAAAGGGCTTTATAGTCGTATAGCCGTAAATGATGAAGATGCTTATTCAATTTACTCCATTTTAAATGATTGAATCTTGATAAATTATATATTAACTGGAATAATGACGCGATCGTCACGAAAATAGAAATAAAGTATCAAAGAGTGTCGCTTTTTGATACTTTTAGCATTTACTAGAAACGATTTTTACATTACATTACTGACTTTTTATAGCACATATTACTGGTTTACGATTATAACTAGCCGTTTGAAAAGAAATCTTACCATTCTTACTTTAACCTGTCACCTTGTCATTATTATACATGGTTACTGTTAACGTTTTATTGAGGATTTTTTCGAATTTTAAATTTGGAAATTTATTCGTTTATTGCGAAAAGACCAATTTGTTAAAGATTTATTGACTATTTATAGACAAACTATTAAAAAGAGTTTTGAAAAAGAATTTTTATAAAAGAAATATTTTAGAAAACAACACACATACACTTATGTGCGTGAGTGTGTCCTTGCATAACTAAAGTAATAAAAAAAGTTATTAAAAATAAAGCAAAAACTGTTTATATTTAAAAAAATAAATTAGTTAAGCAGAAAAATTAGTATACAGCATATAAAAGTTATTTAAAAATCTCCGGAAAAAAGCCGCAAAAATTTTTTTTTTACCCTACTAAAAAAGAAGAAAATTTTTTTTTTTTCTTCTATTTTCTTTTAACTAAAAACCAAATGCCAACGACTTGTTTATGAAGCACAAACGTAATTCGAACATAATTCGAACATAATTCGAACCAGTTCGACGAGTAATGATAAAAATTACTGGTTAACATAATGCGAGTAAACTTATTTTTGTAGTGTAAAAAAAAAAAAAATAAATAAATAAATAAATTAGTTAAATATTCTAATGAAATCGCCTCTAAATTCAACAAGTTTTCTCCAAAAATAAGAAAAACGCTATCGAATAAAATTTCTTATGTGGATGGATGAGTTTATATAATAATCAAATCAACTTTGAATTTTTCGATTTGTTATAAATTTTAAACTATAAAAAGAAACTTAAGTAATTAGGGAAGTTTGTATAAATGGAAGTTTTATAATTGACTTTTTGATGTTACAAAAGATATTCTCTTTAAAATCTTTAAAACATTTATTGTTTAAGAATCTTTCCCAGATGAAATAGTAAAAATAACTTTAACCTACAAACCAGATAATTTATTCAACATAAAAAACTATCGTGTTAAGTCAGTTCTGCAGTTTTCTCAAAAAAGTTAGAAAAAATAATACACACAGAATATACCTTAATCGAAAATAAACTAAAGAAAATTAATTTGGTTTTCAGTAAAAAATTACACAAAGCACGCTATCCTTCAAGTAAAATACAGTATTACTGACTTACTCTTTGAAGAATTCCAAATTTTCACTATATTCATTGATTTGATAAAAACTTTTAAATTTCAAAGTAATTTTATTAATTAACACATTATTAATGTGTTAATCACTATACTTTATTAAAAAATCTGAAAAGCTTTTTTTAATAAATAGTTTTTTGGTGGTTTTTAGGTTAGTTCGAAAGCAATGTTAGAAACCGTAAACAATTATATATAGTTATCATATTAACTTTATATTAATTATTATTTGCGTTGATCATTCCTTGTTATAACATTGAATGTTCATCGACAATAATATTTAATACAAAACATATGATGTTCCACAAGAAACATTTATTCATTGCTATATAAACTATGCAAATATTATATGGGATAGCGCTCAAAGTACTTACAAGTTCTTTTTCAAATTCAATACTACTTTTTAAGGTGATACATACCCTATGTTTTATGGTAAAAAAATCTTAATGTTACGGTAAAAGAAAAGCCAATTTTAAATGCCTACGTACCAATAATATTTTATATAACTAGATGTCTAATTTGCGGGATTTTATTGGGCAAAAAGTCGCTTTTTTTTGTTTTTAACAATAGTCTGCCATTTGTCAAAATGGCAAAAGCTCAAGCCAAAGTGTGTAATAAAAGTTAAAAATGCAAGTCAAAAATTCCCAATAAATTAAAGATAATTCAAAAACAAGTTTTAATAATTATAAAATACTTATAAAAGTTTTTTTTATGAGCCAATGTTTATTAAAAAGTATTCTAATTCATAAAAATGCTTCAAAGCGTCTGTCGTTTTACTTTTCCATTCAAAACTTTAATCCCTTTTTAATCGAAAATAAATTAAGGAATCATCAATTATTATTATTTTACAAGTATTTTAATTTCCGCTTAACACTTTTACGTAAATATTAAATTTAAAATATATTTACTTCATTTAAAAAAAGAAAAGTTAAAAATATTTGTTTACAAATTTAATCCGCCATTTGTAAAAAGGGCAAAATTCGGCTTACTTTTCGGATCGACGTTAGACATCTAGTTATATAATATATCATTGCTATGTACATAATTGTCAGCCAAGAACCAAGAGACTGTATATTCATTTTTTTGTATTTGCGAGAAAATCAAGTTTTAAAATTTTATTTGTGAATACTTTCTGCCAGAATGTTCCACTAATTTTTTTAATATTTTATTAAGTTATATTATTCTTGAGAATAGATTTATAAGGCACATACCCCATTGGTTGTTAAATATTTATCGATAATAAACAGAAAAAACACAAAAT